CTCGAATGGAAACACTAGTGTGTATGATGCTGGTGAATGTCAATAGAGAATGTAGGATACAGTAACAGGATACTATCGTATTGGTGTTATGGATTGAGGACACCCCAAAGGGAGACTTGACATATGCGATGCTTATGGGGTATATAGCTTTCCCTGTGCCCCCCCTCTCGATACATATATACAGACGTATTTTTGAACATGTGCGAAGAATACAAGTGTCTAGAATTCTATAAACTAAGTTTGTTTGTACTTGTGCCTATGAGTACTGAAGAGGCCGCTTGATTATTTTCGATTTCAATGTTGGTACACCTCCCTTTAATGGTCCTTCTCGAATCAACACAAACCCTCGCATCCGCACGCAAATCGTCACTCTTCAATTCATGTCTTCTGTTCAAAAAAAAAAAATGCCGAAGGGATTTCGATATCTGCGTATAATCGCAAACATAAGAAATTAGGGAACTTTTTTTAGACTGAAAAATAATAGTTTTTAGAAAAAAAAGTTGCGACAGAACCAGAATTAAAAATATATTTTCATACTCGAAAAAAGTTGCGAATCTTAATTCTCAAAAATAGTAATTGGGTAAAAATAAAGTCGTATGCTTGTTGAATGTTTGATGCAAAGTGGTTTGAAGAAGCGAATCTCGAGCAGTCGGAGGGGGGAGAGAAGAGGGAGGGTCAAATTACCCGGCACAGAACGCATTATCTCTACTTGATAGACCTCGTACCCTTAACGCAGAGGTTCCCAATATTGCAATTTTTCTCTTTTTTTCAGCGAAAAAGAAAAAAGATCTTCCAGCATCTCTCCTATACTACTATATAGGGAAAGGTTTATAAGAAAAGTTTTAAAGTAGCTTGAAATTTGATATCAAAATGAGAGTCACTTTCTTTCTTTCGCAGAGTATAGTCGTATCTCTATAAATTCGCGCGCAGCATTTTCTACAATTCCCATAAATTTATTCAAACAAATTCTATAATTACTTTTTCGGGTCGGACGATTCTCGATCCAAAAGATTTATTACATACGGAATTCGACCCTTTAGCATTTTTATTGCAAATTACGTTCTTCAAGAACGAAACCATCATTACGGAAACTAATTTTGTTGCTCGCGAAATGTCATCAACTAACTGGTACTAAATTTCTTTTTCTTCTATCTATGTAAGGGAAATAAAGGAGATGGCTGTAAAAAATTTCAACCTATAAGGAAACTTTTTATAGGGTCTTTTAAATGCATCACTTTTGTAATTGAAATCAGCACTAATTTCGAATTGGATATTCAATAACAATGCTAAAGTTGGTTTTTAATTTTTATTAATATGCTATCGTGAAACTACGAATTCGTGAAATTCGTATAGTTAAATTTTATGAAGAAGAACAGATTTTCAGAATGTAAAATATATTATTTTTAACATGGCTCGGATCAGTATAATACTATATAGTCCGAGCTTCCGAAATTTTTCTTTGGGCAGAATTTTCATCCCCAGCATCAAATTTTATGCACATGGTGATAAAAAATAGTTTGACAACCAAAGCTATAAAATATCATAAATGTATAAAAGTGGTATATGCCTCTTTATGGGGCATCTTAAAGATATAGCCCGTTGTATGTAATGAGGGCGAGTGCCACCCCGTGTTGAGGGTTGTTTAGTCCCACGACGACAAAAGATGTATACCAAAAAGTCCTATCCATCATTTAATTTACACATGCTATTATCTCAACATATAAAAGTAATACCCTCCTTAACACTGCACTGATAAAAATATTATGATCTCTATAATCAATTTCAAAAAAAAAAAAACCCTAATGTTATTTAATCCACTCTTCATAGGACTAACAGACAACTTAAAACCGCGAAGACATTGTAAATAAATAAAAAAGCACACATAATTTATGGAGCAAAATTCTAAATTTGGAATCCAAAATAATTCAAAACAAAATTTAAAATGCTAAGAAAAGGATAACTTTTGCTTTGAACCTTTTTTAAATCAATTTGCGCGATATTTTCTTATGTACTGCGATCTTCGGAACGTGTATAAAGAAATGAAATCAAATGAACGTTTCTTAGAATTTTCGGAAAAAAGTTTTCTTATTCAGAATGACCGAAGGAGAGATGATGCCCTGTGGGAGAGAAGATTGATTTCTTGGTAGGTACTTACTGCTCTACGCAAAAACTGGGACAGGTTATAGGTAGTTGTATACGAGTTTGAAATCAAAACAAAACAGAAAAAAAACTAAGTATAGTGTTCCTGCATTCGTGCTCTACGTGACAAAACTATCATTAAGTTTCGCACTATTGAGTTTGCAATTATTATACTGTATCGTAACTTTCACATTTTTTTAAAGAAATATCTTTGCGGCCATAGATAAAAAGCATTATTTTTTTAAAAATAACTATAATTATTAGAAAATAAAATTATATTCAGAAAGTATGAACAGGGCAAAAAATGCGGAATAAATACTAAATAAAATATCAATTACGAAAGAAAAGCGAAAGGAGCAGCAATTAGGCACATAACAATAATGTTCAATTAACCGAAAGGTATTATTAAAGCTATATATATATATAGAGAAAATGTTCCTTAAATATGCCGCAGTAATCCAATCAATAATGCCAGATATATATATTGAGGCCGTTTCTAAATGTCCCAATAATGTCAAGTGAACATCACTGCGTCAATCAAATCCAATTATCATACACGGAAGGGCGTATCTCAACGTTGTTACCGTTTGATGCACGTACCCAGCGCCCTTGTGTCCATATATATAGGAGCACTCTAAGCCTATTACGAGACTATGATAATATTCTCAGTCTGATCTTCATGTTTATTTTACTGTGACCACGAATTTACTCTCACTCAAAATGTTACACTAAATATGACAAACTTATTGACAATAAAATACTTTTCCTGCCATCTGCTTTCTGTACGTCATGCGGTTGAAAACAAACGAGAATTTGCCCTTTATTCTTTATTCTACATATGATGTATATACAAAGAATAGGAATGATTCTTTTAAATGTAGCATCAATATTTTTTGTACTTAGCACATTGTATATATGGGCATCTTTGTTAAACAAAGCGCTCTTCTCTTTAAAATTATGGTTTAAAAATATAAAAAATAATAGTCTTCAAAATCTGTTAAGAATAAATTTTTTAAAACTACTTTTTCTTGCCGAATATGTATACCGTTGATTATGCTGAATGCCACACAAAAATCTGGTTCAATTTGTAAATTCTATTTCTGAGTTCAAAAATCTTATCATATAGCATATTCTTCCTTTGAATAAGAATAATGCGGTTTTATAATCGCATATCTGTTAATCCTACAATGTTTTTTAACTATTTTTTCTGGTATTTATTATCAATAACTACTTTTTATTGTTTATCATTCCATCTTTCATCATATATTATGTTGCACGTAACACGAATTTTGGTTTAATTTTATAAATTTTTCAATATTTCTGCGGATCCAACAATCTTTAGATAACATATATGATGTTCTTAGACTTTCTTCAGAGTATTGATCATCTAATCATAGAATGTTGTTTTAATTAATTTCACAGTGTTTTTGACAACGTTTGTCATAAATTATTATAGGGCATTGTTTTTTATACAATATAACACTTTTCCATTATAATTTCATGCATAATATTGTGAATATTGTATGAACAAAAAATCTAATTAAACACGAATTTCGGTTCGATATATACGTAAAGATTTCTGAGTTCAAAAATCTTTAGTTTCCAGATAGTATTCTTCGTCTTCTTTTGTACAAGATGATGTTGTATGCGATCATCTAATCCTATAATGTTCTTTAGCTTATTTTTGCATCGTTTTTGATATTACTGCTTCTTATGAAAAACTATATTGTTTATTGTATTTCATAAAATCTTTTTCATTTTTTGTTGAACGCAACATAAAAGTTGATGGTTCAATACGAATTTTGATTCGACTTTAACTTTCGTAAAGATTTCTGAGTGCAAAAATATTTATGTTCCACATGATGTTCTTGGTTTTCTTCAGGTTGTTAATTATCAAATTGTAGCATATGTTCCTTAAATATAAATAATTATCTTTAACTAATGTTTAACTGAAATTACTAATTTTGAAGTATTTTTGACAATATTTGCCATTAATTACTTAGAGGACATTGTCTTTTGTCAAACGATTTTTGTATAATGTTGCGTCTCAACTCAGAACTTAAATCGATCCAAATTTGAGTTCCATTTAAACATCCCTAAAGATTTTTTGGTGCAAAAATCGTATATGCTCTTTCTTCAGAGTCTTTATCATCTATAACCATCATCATCTTAATCCTCTAATTCTATAATACTCTTTAACATCATCTTCAGCATTATTATCATCACAAATAATTCAGAATCAGCATCAGCATTATTATTATCATAAATAAGCATCATTATCACCTTTAATATTTCGAAATCTGCATCATTATCATAGTAATTCAGAATCAGCATCAGCTTCATTATAACAAAAAATAAGTATCATTTCCACCAATAATATTTCGGAATCAGCATCATTATCATAATAAGTCATTCAAAATGGTTCTAAATCATTCAAAGTCGTTACAAACGATTCAGAATCGTTCTTAATCATTCAGAGTTGTTACAAAAGATTTAAAATGGTTCTAAATCATTCGAAGTCGTTACAAATTATTCAGAATCATTCTTAATCATTCAGAGTCCTTATAAATGATTCAGAACCGTTCTAAATCATTCAGAATCATTCCAAACAATTCAAAAGCTTTTTAATCCTTTAAAATCCGTTTAAATGATTCATTATCATTCCAAATCATTCAGAATCATTAAAAACCTTTTTTCCATCAAAACCCACCAATATTAACAATGGAAATTTTTTTTTTTCGCAGAAATTCGTCATTTTTGGTGACTTCAAGAGGAAGAATGGCAAAATTCATACGTGATGGGAAGACGGCAGAAGCCGGAATGAGAGTCTCAGTGACTGTCCACAGTGGCGCCACGTACTTTTTACTCCCCGTAGCGGGCGTGTTAAAGGGCGTAGGATGATTCTTGATTGGTTGAACTGAGATGAACTGATTGGTGATATGGTGAATGGGTGCGACCAAAATACAGTCGCGCCGAAGCGTTCCTGTGAATGCCACGCCTTTGGGTTGATCCTCAACCCCGTGGGACTCGAGCCACGCTGGCTCTGCCGGCCGTGACACATTCGACAAGCGGCGCCGTAACGGGAAGCAACGTGCGACTGGGGACCTTCAAGAATTCTCCTCTGTCTCACTGTTATCTGACCGCCTTGACCTCTCACCCTCCACAAAAATTAATAAAAAAAAACCCTCTTCTCGCCATGATTCGACAAACTACAACATCGGATTATAACAATTCTGCTCTGCTTACAAGAGTTGATTTACATTTTTGAAAAAATTCCCTCCCTTGTAAAACAGTATTTACGAAGTATTTGCCCCAAAACGGTTCATAAAATCCTACAAAATTACGAAGAATATTCTGAGAGGGAAAATTTTTATTTTGACGATTCAAGTGCGGACAGAATTTTTGTGCGGTAAACCACGTGACAATTGTGCGGAAGTTCAGTGAAGTTGAAAATACTTTTTTGTTGACTCGAGTGAAGTTTCGGACTTTTGTATATATAGTGAAGTGCGAGACAATTGAAAAGCATTACAAATGAATAAGAAAATAAGGTAAAATATCCTGATGATCAAGAATTGTGAATTTTGGAAAAATTGATTGACATAGAGAGAAAGAAAAAAAGAGAAAGAGAGAAAAAAAAGAGTGATTTTGAGAAGAGAAAGTAGAGAGGAAATAATTTTTTTACGGCCTCACGACGAGGTCCGACGAGTGGAGCGGTCTCCTGCCCAGCTCCACTATCGTGGGCGCTGGGGGGTCACCATGGTTGGGTTTGGGTGCCGGGGGTGGAGCAGGTGCTACCACGGGTTCAGGGAGTCCTGTCGAACTCGAGGGCCATTGGGGCAGGAAATTATATGGGGCAAGTGTTGCACCACCACCGCCACCGCCTCATCATCATCCACGTGCCCCGCTTGTTTTTGCTCCGCAGGACATGCGGCAAATTTTGAAGGAGGAACCCGTACCACGTGCCTGGCCTCAACCTGCGCTCGCCGATAATGGACCGTGAGTATTTTTTTTCTTCTTTGACAATAATTTTTAGTGAATATTTTTCTTTTGGCACTAATTTATATAGTGATTATTTTTCTTTTTCATTTCTTCTGAGTGGGAATTATTTTCTAATTGACAGTAGTAAAAGAATTGAGTAAATTTTTTATGATCCTTGATGATTGAGTACAACTGTCAACTGATTAAAAAAACTTAAAATCAGATACAAGATTTTTCTAAGGATATCAAATTGAGACAAAATACGTAGCAAAATTGTTGCGATGCAACAATTTAACTACGTTTTTTGTCTCAATTTGATATCTTTAGAAAAATTATGAAAGAAAATCGAATTAATACCAAAGAATTCAAGTTAATACCAAAAGATTCGATTACTAATATCAAAATGTTACAAATTTAGTACCAAAAATGTCAAACTAATACTAAAATTAATTAATTGGAATTGATTCTAAAAGGATGAAATTAATAATAATTTTGATCAAGGATTGAAAGAAAGAAATATTTTTTATGCTGAAAATAATTATTTATTTTTGTTCACAAATTTGTTTTCTTAAGTTTTCGATAAAGAAATATTGTAAAAAATTATCTATGAAAAAATTTAAGTAGAAAAGTATATTTTTTCTATTTAAAATGTTGATTATAAAGGTTGTAAACTTCACTGGCGTTTAATACCAAAAGATTCGAATTTAATATCAAAAGTTTTAAATTTAAATGAATATCAATGGGATTAAATTAATACGAAAAAATTTAAATTGATATCAATAGGATTAAATTAATACCAAAAGATTTAAATTAATATCAATAGGATTAAATTAATATTGAAAGATTTAAATTAATATCAAAAGGATAAAATTAATACCAAAAGGTCAAAATTAATAGCAAAAGATTCCAATTAGTACTAAAAGATTAAAATGAATATGAAAAAATTTGAAATTGTACCGATAGGATTAAATTAATAACAAGAGGTTCGAATTTTTGATTTTCATTTTCAAAAATTGTATTTTGTCTATATACACATGATTCTAATTCGTTTTTAATATTGAAAAATAGTATTTTTGTCATTCAGAAGAAAGGAAGAAAGATTAATTTTTCTTAAAAAAAGAAGACATTTTTAATTTTTTGTATTTAAATTCTGTACTTTTGATTCTGAATTCGAATATTGCAATTTTTATAGGCAATAATTACAATATTTCAGTTATAATACGTTTAAGGTAAATAAGTATAGTTAATAATAATGAATAAATTTGTAACTCTTTTTTGATAAGAAAAATTTAGTCAACGAAAAAAAACAAATGCAACTTTTTTGTTAGTTTGCTAAATTAGGTTAAAATTATTCAAAAGGGAGTAAAAAAATGTTTAGGAATTCTATAAAAAATAATAAATTCGTTTTACGGTCGAAAAATTATGTTAGAAATTATATAAAAGTTCAATTATTTGAATGCAATATTGCGTGAAATGTCTTCATCCGACGGCCACAGATTATTTTCTCTCCTGTTCCGTCGGATCGCTCGTTGACTTGTACTACTCATAGAATTTAGAATTTACATTATTTCTGAATTTTTAAAACTTTTGGATTAAATTTTACAGGAAAAATTATTATTCCTTCAAAAGGATTTATAGCAAATTGTTGATAAAAGTATTCTTTCAATACTCCATAGAAATTAAATTGAATATCAAAAAATTTTACGAGTAAAAAATTCCTAACTTGCAACTAATTTCAAATAAATGGAATTGTTACTTGTAAAATTTGGTACTTAAAACACTAAAGTTTAGTAATCAGAATTTAGTTTCTTTGTAAAAATTACATAACACTTTTAAATGGTGAAATTCGAATTTATGATCAACGTTTATTTTTTAAAAAAAGAAATAATTTCCCTGACAAATTTTTATTAACTTGTATAAACATATTTTCAAAAAATAAAAAAAAGGAATAAAAATAAATAAAGAAATAAATGAAATTAAAATGAATAAAAATAAATTAATAAAGGAAATGAAAATAAAAGAAATGAAAATAAATGAATAAGAATAAATAAATAAAATTAAATAAAATAAAAGTAAACAAATAAAATGAAGTAAAAATAAGTAATTATAGAAAATAAATATTTTTTAGCTATAAAATATTTATAGAAACAATTTTTTGATCAAGAATCTCTTGAACAAACATATCAAACAAAAGAAAGATAGAAAAAGTAAAATATTACATTATTTTCTTTTTAAAAAATGTAAATTTTTCCATAGTCGTTGATCATAAACGTTGTGAATTTTACCTACGTAGAATTTATAACAAAATAATGATAAAATTCTAAAAAAGAAAATTAGCAATTATTATATTTTTAACGTTTCTGAAAAATTAATGAATTAATTGTCTATTGTTTCTATTTATTGGAAAGAAATCAATTTTCAACTTTATTTTCTTAAATATTTTGTTAAAATCCAATTTTTTTATTGCAACGAACTTTGGAGGCATTTAGTGTTTGTTTCTTAAAAATATTTCTCCGCATTACTTTTGCAGTATAAGTGTATCAATTACAAAACTCGCAATTTTCTAAACGATTAAACTATATAGCAAACAAGTTAGTTGCTTTTGTTTTGGAACTGTTGGCGAACTTTCGTTTTCGTTATAGTTGGAAAGGCAAAAGCCCCAACAACTTACTTTACAGTGAAATGGTGTTGGAAGCTTGCAAAGTGTTTTAAAACTTTCTGCAAGCGTTGACAAACTTTCTTACTCTTAAAATACTATTAAAAATTGTACCTGTAACGTTCAAGTTTACTGCTATCGCCGAAAAAAGTTCTCTTTTAAAAGAACAAACGGAAAAATTAACTTTTAAAAGTATTTATTTTATAGAATATATATATATATATAAATTTATAGGAATAGTAATCGAGAGGCAAAGATAATTTTTTTATTTTTTATTTAAACAAAATTATTGGTTTATTAAAATTGCAGTTTCAGTAGTTTAAATCAGTTTTAAGTAAGACAGAACATGTATTCTTTTAAAAAAAAAGATTAGAACAATTTTTTTGATGTAAATAAAAATTATTTTGATACAAATAAATATTTATTAAATGGGTATCAAAATAATTTTTATTTTATTATTTCGTTTGCTTCAAATACTAAAATTTCTTTTTCGACAAGAGCAAATTCATTTGATTTAAAAACAATTTCGTTTATGTAAATAAAAATTATTTTATACAAGTAAATGTTTATTTTACAAAAACACGATTTATTTGATATATAATAATATAAATTATTCGATTGAATTAAATATTTTATTTAAAAAAAATATAATTTATTTGATTTAAATAAAAATTATCTGATTCAAGTCAATATAAATATTTGATATTGGAAAAGTAATCGAATTATTGCAATCGAATAAATTTTTTCGTCAGTGTAAAGAAACAGTAAAATGAAAAAAAACATTTGAAAAAAAGTAGTTTAAAAAATAGCTAAAGTAGCAAAAATATCAAAAAATGTCAAAAAAGTAGTAAAAAAATAGCAAAAGCAGCAAAAATTAAAAAAAAAATGTCAAAAAAGTATTAAAAAAAATAGTTTTAAAAAAGTAGGAAAAGAAAAAAGCAGTAAGGAAAAAAATAGTTGTGTAGAGAATAGGGAATAGGAAAAGAAGGGGAAATTGAATAGAAAGAAGAATAAAAAACAGAATAGAAAGAAGAATAAAAAACAGAATAGAAAGCAGAATAAAAAATAGAATAAAAAGTGGAATAAAAAATAGAATGAATAATAAAATCGAAATATTAATTAAAATAGAAATTAGTAAATAAATAAATAGATACAAAAAAAAATAAAATAGAAAATAGGTAAATTGAAGCAAATGTAAAAGAAAAATAATAAAAAATAATAATAGAAAAAAATAAAAGGAATGTCTCTTAATTAGAGTGATAATGAAGTTACATGTCCATTATTATATAGTACAGCGCTCTCGACGTGCGTTTATTTTAATATTTTAATGACTTTGAAAATTTAAAAGCATTCGGATATTGAAGAAGTTAATGAAAGAGCTCAGCTCATCGCATTTAAACTCGCGAGAGGTCGCGGATTATATTTGGATATACCCATTACAAATTGCTCATTATCTCTCGCAGTGCATTATGAATCATGTTGGGATGCTGCGTAAATAGACTGCGCGCTCTCGGCTAACTCATATAATAACTAACGCTTGGCGCATCGTGCATTAACTCTGGATTTATTGTGATTCTCTGCACCCGATTGCTTTGTCCACGAATCCGCGTATCCCTTGATTTCAAAATACACGCTAAACACAGTGTTTTGCGAACGCCTACAAAATTCCATTTTAGTTTACTTATTATTTTGCTCTCCATTATACACACTAGAGAATGTTTAGTGTTTTTTTTTTACTTTTTTATTTTATTATTATTATTATATTATTAATATTATTATTTTTATTATTCTCTTATTTTTTCTCTTCTTTTTTTCTTTTCTTTCGTTTCAATATTTTTTTCATTTTTGACATAATCGGAAATTTTACTGTAATTATGTTGACTTTTTTCGAAATATTAAACTAATTGTTCGGAATAAAAATTATTTAATTTAAAAAAAATCATTTGATCGAAAGGAAATATTTTTTTAATGTAAATATTTTAAAAATAATTACTGATTGCTGCAATAAAAATCAAAAAATTTATCGAGTGATGAAATAATTATTTTATGAAAATATGTAATACAAGGAAAGTGTATTGTCGTAATATAGTATTCAAGAAGAATTATATAAAAAATTAAAAATAAATAAAAAGCGTGTGTTCCTTTACACACATGTGATCCAGGAGGTGTATATCTATAATTCTGATGCACGTAGTATAAACTCGAGAGAGCTAAATTCGCGCGTACACGAATTTGCAACACTCGGATGCGACAGATCGGGCTCATTTGTGTGCACACACGAGAGAGAGAGAGTATATAGTGAACGCGTTGTTTGCAGTTTCCAACCCAACACCAACATCGAGGTGATAATTACAAGCTCGAT